ATTGTGGTGGAAAAAAAATAAACCCTCTCCTTTTTTTTTTGTTTTGTTTTTGTTTAAATCACCCTCCTTCTTCCACCACGCTGTGCACCCCAAGATCCCACTCCTTACACCAGTGTGACAAAGTTCCTCCTCTATCTTGGTGGGTCCTGCGCTTATTGGCGGATTTTCTTGCCTCAGAGATTCACCATGTGGGTTGGGGAACAGCCCAGAGACCTTCCCCTCTGGGAGAACCCACAGTCCAGGTCAATTGGGAGGTCTGGGGGGAACCCGGGCCCGCCCTCTACTCCGGGTTCCAGCCCAGGGCCCTGTGGACTGCAGCTGTCTATAGTGCCTCCTGTAACAGCTGCATGACAGCTACAACTCCCTGGGCTACTTCCCCATGGCCTCCTCCAAACACCTTCCTTATTCTCACCACAGGACCTTCCTCCTGGTGTCTGATAACGCTTGTGCTCCTCAGTCCTCCAGCAGCACACCCTCTCACTCTCAGCTCCTTCCACCTCTTGCTCCCAGCTCCTCACATTCCCCCCACAAACTGAAGTGAGCTCCTTTTTAAAACCCAGGTGCCCTGATTAGCCTGCCTTAATTCATTCTAGAAGCTTCTTCTTAATTGGCTCCAGGTGTCCTAATTAGCCTGCCTGCCTTAACTGGTTCTAGCAGGTTCCTGATTACTCTAGTGCAGCCCCTGCTCTGGTCACTCAGGGAACAGAAAACTACTCATCCAGTGACCAGTATATTTGCCCTCTACCAGACTCCTGTACCCCACTGGTCTGGGTCTGTCACAGTGTATATATAAACAGCAGTGTAGACTAGGCAGGCAGTAGTGTGAGTAGGGAGCAGTGTAGGGTAAGTACTCAGGTACATACCCCCGCCCTTTAGGTCCATCTTTACTCACCTAAGCCATGCCTCACTGATGAAACTGCTATTATACACGAACTAGAGGGGCTACATGAATATGTACATTACATGCTGCTTAAAGAAGCATGCAATGTAAATGCACCCTTAATGTGTCAGATACCCAAGTGCTCACACTTTTTACACAAGGGTAGGCCATCTGAGCTCCATCTTTGCTGTCTCCATACCTTGTCTATGCCTAAGTCTGAAGTGAGAGCCTCAGTGTGTCTGAGCCCAGATTTTGATATAGGCCCTGCCTGATCCCTGTTGTCTGTTTTCCAGACTCAACCACATTGTCTTCACGTGTTCAGCTGCCTCTCTTGCTAGGTGTTAATTTTTTCTTCTTTTGGCATTTCCATTGTCTCTGTAGGGTCTTCCATTCAGATGCATTGATTCCATTCCAGCTTCTAATGGCACATTGATACCAACCCAGACAGCTACATGTTCTGACTCAAACCCCTCATGCCTTCCTTCTGTTCCAGGAGGAGCATTTTAACCCCTCTGTGTCCAATGGGTAATAAAAATACCAAGTCAGATGGGTCAATTGAGATGCATACTGTTCTTACAAGTATTACAGAAAATTCTACTTTCATTACAAGGTGTCTTTTTATTATTCAAATTGAAATAAATAAAATTATTTCTATTGTCTCTGAATTAAGAATCTCTTTAGAGATGCACACTGGTCTCAGGGAATGGAAATGCAGAGAATGGGGTATAAACAGATTGTCATTTTGCTGTCTGTTTTTGTCTCCTGTAGATTGACGAATTGTGATCTCACAGCTGCTTGTTGTGGGGATCTCTCCTCTGTTCTTAGCACCAGACAGACCCTGACAGAGTTGGACCTGAGGAACAACAAACTGGAAGATTCAGGAATGAGGCTGCTGTGTGAGGTACTGAAACATCCAAACTGCAAACTGCAGAATCTAAGGTAAGTAATAGCTGATTCTTTAGTCTGTGCCTGTTAATGTTGTAGTGTTGAGTTATGTTCTTTTAATCCAGAACACCGTATCCTACAGTGCGTGGATCCCAGCCCTGGACCCTCCCAACTTTGCTCCCAAGGCAAAGAACAGAGAGCCACTGATGTGTTCATTGGTTGCATTTTACTAGTTAAACAATTGAACAATGTTGTGAGCTCCACCTTTGGCTCCTGTTCAGGGTAAAGCAGCTGTGCAGCTGCCCTAAAGGTGCAGCCAATGATCCTGCTGACACAGGGTAATCCTGGGTATGCAAAATAGGTATAGCCAGTTCTGTGCCACCCATGTCCCCATCCCAACTGGGGTGTGTGCAGAGGCATGGAGGGTGTACGTCAGGGGCAGGATAGGGTGGGGCAGAGTGCATGGAGCTCCACCAGAAGCTAGGCTAGCAAAGCAGCTGGGGTAACTTAGAGCACCTTGAGGTTCTTCCAAGTTATGCCAGAGACTGTTTGGGCCACTGCTTGGCCCTGAAACAGGAAGATAGAATGGGGGTTCAGAGCCAATTGCTTCACTTCCAGGTCTCCTTGTTGTCCTCATTGGTACCAAGTGTGAACTTGATACAGCTGAGGACAGAGTCTAGTGCACAGCATATTTCCCTGCTAGAAACATAATTACTTTATTCAGTCAAGCAATAATAATGACAGACACCCCACTTCTGAATGGGAGCTATCACTCCTGCTCTCTTAAAAGGTCTGGAGACTAAAGAAAATTAAACACTTTGTTCTTCCCAACTGGCTGTAAACAATGAATGTGAATAAATATCAACATTAATGTGTTTTCCTCAAAGAGGCTGGGAAACAGGTTATTTCTGGCCAAAGTGTCACTGTAATGCTTCCCGGGGTACCCAAAGCTGGGAGGCACTTCGCTACAATCTGCTGGTAGCGTGAGGTTCCCCAACTCCGCCAGTCACTAGCAACATAAGCCCTCCCCTCTAGGCCTCACGGTCCTTCTGCAGATTAGTGATAGACACCCTCCAACCCCCGACCCCTCCAAGTGTCCCCCTGGAGCGTTCAGCCCCTCGCCCACTGGATACTCATGTATTTACAGGTATGCTATTCCCAAAAGAACAGTATACCTCAGGTTGCCAGTTTCACCTCAGGATCACCACTCTGCTCAAATCACACTTAGATTTGCTTATACTGAAAAGAATCATAGGACTGGAAGGAACCTCGAGAGGTCATCAACTCCAGTCCCTGCACTCTTGGCAGGACCAAGCACTATCTAGACCATTCCTGACAGGTGTTTGTCTAACCTGCCTTTAGAAATCTCCAGTGATGGAGATTCCACAACCTCTGTAGGCAATTTATTCCAGTGCTTAACCACCCTGACAGTTAGGAATTTTTTCCTAATGTCCAACCTAAACCTCCATTGCTGCAATTTAAGCCCATTGCTTCTTGTCCTATCATCAAAGGTTAAGGAGAATAATTTTTCTTCCTCCTCCTTGTAACAACCTTTTAGATACTTGAAAACTGTTATCATGTCCCCTCTCGGTTTTCTCTTTTCCAGACTAAACAAACCCAATTCTTTCAATCTTCCCTCATAGGTCATATTTTCCAGATCCCTAATCATCCTTGTTGCTCTTCTCTGGACTTTCTCCAATTTGTTCACATCTTTCCTGAAATGTGGCACCAAGAACTGGACACAATACTCGAGTTGAGGCCTAATCAGCGCAGAGTAGAGCAGAAAAATTACTTCTCGTGTCTTGCTTAAAACACTCCTATTAATACATCCCAGAATGATGTTTGCTTTTTTTGCAACAGCGTTACACTGTTGACTCATATTTAGCTTGTGGTCCACTATGACCCCTAAATCCCTTTCCGCAAGTACTCCTTCCTAGGCAGTCATTTCCCATTTTGTATGTGTGTAACAGATTGTTCCTTCCTAAGTGGAGTGCATTTGTCCTTATTGAATTTCATCCTATTTACCTCAGATCATTTCTCTAGTTTGTCCAGATCATTTTGAATTTTCATCCTATCCTCTAAGGCACTTGCTTGGTATCATCTGCAAACTTAATAAGTATACTCACTATGGCATGACCTAAATCCTTGATGGAGACATTGAAAAGAACTGGACCCAGAATTGATCCCTGCAGAACCCCTCCCAGCCTGACTGTGAACCATTGATAACTATTCTTTGGGGGCAGTTTTCCAACCAGTTATGCATCCACCTTATAGTAACTCCATCTAGGTTGTATTTCCCTACTTTCTTAATGAGAAGGTCATGCAAGACTGTATCAAAAGCCTTACTAAAGTCTAAATATACCACATCTACCGCATCCCCTCTCCCATCCACAAGACTTGTTACCCTGTCAAAGAAAGCTATCAGGTTGGTTTGACATGATTTGTTCATGACAAATCCACACTGATTATCACTTATCACCTTATCTTCTAGATATTTGCAAATTGATTCCTTAATTATTTGCTCCATTATCTTACCTGGTACAGAAGTTAACCTGACTGGTCTGTAATTGCCTGGGTTTCCCTTGTTTCCCTTTTAATAGATAGGCACTATATGTGCTCTTTTCCAGTCTTCTGGAATCTCCCCATCTTCTATGACTTTTCAAAGATAATAGCTAATGGCTCAGATATTTCCTCAGTCAATTCCTTGAGTATTCTAGGATGCATTTCACCAGGCCCTGGTGACTTGAAGACATCTAACTTGTCCAAGTAACTTTTAACTTGTTCTTTCCCTATTTTAACATCTGAACCTACCCCATTTTCACTGGCATTCTCTATGGCAACCTTCTTGGTGAAAACTGAAACAAAGAAGTCATTAAGCACTTCTGCCATGTCCACATTTTCTGTTATTGTTTTCCCCTCTTCATGAGTAACGGGCCTACCCTCTCCTTGGTCTTCCTCTTGCTTCTAATGTATTTGTAGAATGTTTTCTTGTTACCCTTTATGTCTCTAACTAGTTTGATCTCGTTTTGTGCCTTGGCCTTTCTAATTTTGCCCCTACATACATGTGTTATTTGTTTATATTCCTCCTTTGTAATTTGACCTTGTTTCCACTTTTTGTAGGACTCTTTTTTGATTTTTAGATCATTTGAGATCTCCTGGTTAAACCAGGGTGGTCTCTTGCCATACTTCCTGTCCTTTTTACACAGTGGGAGAATTTGCTCTTGTGCCCTTAATAATGTCTTTCTGAAAAACTGCCAGCTGTCTTCTATTTTTTTCCCCTTAAACTTGCTTCCCATGAGATCTTACCTACCAACTCCCTGAGTTTGCTAAAGTCTGCCTTCCTGAAATCCATTGTCTTTATTTTGCTGTTTTCCCTCCTACCATTCCTTAGAATCATGAACTCATTATTTCATGATCGCTTTCACCCAAGCTACCTTCCACTTCCAAATTCTCAACCAGTTCCTACTTATTTGTCAAAATGAAGTCTAGAACAGCCTCTCCCCTCGTAGTTTTCTCCACCTTCTGGAACAAAAAATTGTCTCCAATACATTCCAAGGATTTACTGGATAATCTGTGCCCTGCGGTGTTATTTTCCCAAAAGATGTCTGGGTAGTTGAAATCCCCCATTACCACCAAGTCCTGTGCTTTGGATGTTTTTGTTAGTTGTTTGAAAAACTCCTCATCCACCTCTTCTTCCTGGTTAGGTGGTCTGTAGAAGACCCCTACTGTGTCATCACCTTTATTTTTTTACCCCTTTTATCCTTATCCAGAATGTTTCAACAAGTCTGTCTTCTATTTCCATCTCAACCTCAGGCCAAGTGTATACATGCTTAATATATAAGGCAACACCTCCCCTTCCCCCTGCCTATCCTTCCTCAGCAAGCTGTACCCTTCTATACCAATATTCCAATCGTGCGTATTGTCCCACCAGGTCTCTGTGATGCCAGCTATGTCATAGTTGTGGTCATTGATCAGCACTATGAGTTCTTCCTGCTTATTCCCCATACTTCTTGCATTAGTATACAGACTTTAAGATATTAATTTGATTTCCCCCCCAGTTCTGTCTTGTTTCTTGTTGATCCCTGCTGTTACAGCCAATGCTCTCCCCAATTTCTGACCCTTCTCCCAAGTCTCCATGTGTTTGACTTACCTGTAGGCTTTGGTCTCCTGCCCCCTTCAAACCTAGTTTAAAGCCCTACTCACTAGGTTAGCCGGTGTTCCCCATCCTCAATAGGTGGACCCCATCTCTGCTTAGCAGTCCTTCTTCCTGGAACATCATCCCGTGGTCAAGGAAGCCAAAGCCCTCCTGGTGACACCATCTTAGCAGCCATGCATTCACCTTCAGGATGCATCTGTCTGCCCAGGCCCCTACTCTTGACCGGAAGGATCGAAGAGAACACCACCTGCGCCCCGACCTCCTTCATCCATACCCCCAGAGCCCTGTAGTCATTTTTGATCTGCTGAGGGTCATACCTCGCAGTATCATTAGTGCCCACATTGATGAGTAGCATGGGGTAGTAGACAGAGGGCCGGATGATCCTCGACAATCCCTCCGTAACGTCTCGGATACGGGCCCCTGGAAGGCAGGGTCAGGGTAAGAGATGGGTGCCTCCGTCCCCCTCAGAAGAGAGTCTCCAACCACCACTACTCTAAGTTTCCTCCTGGGAGTGGTGGCTGAAGACCTCCCAGCATTGGGGGTATACGGCTTCTCCTCCTTCACCTTAGCAGGCGCTTCCTCATCTCTAATTGCCAGAGCAGCATAACGGTTCTCTATCAACATAGGGGGTGGGATGGGTGTCGTGGTGGAGCACTGCCTGCTGCCAGAAGTAACCAGCTGCCAGTGTCCTCCCTCTGACAGAGTCATATCTCGGGGGAGGGTTAGCTCAGTGGTTTGAGCATTGGCCTGCTAAACCCAGGGTTGTGAGTTCAATCCTTGAGGGGGCCACTTAGGGATCTGGGGCAAAATCAGTACTTGGTCCTGCTAGTGAAGGCAGGGGGCTGGACTCGATGACCTTTCAAGGTCCCTTCCAGTTCTAGGAGATAGGATATCCTTCTCCCCCAGTGGTGTGCCAGGAGTCCTCTGTAGCTGGATAACTTCCCCTGCCTTTGACATCTCCACATCAATACTCTCGAGGAATTCCTGAATTCCTCATTGCATGGATGCTCCTCAGCCTAGCCACCTCCTCCTGTAGCTCTCCCACCTGCTTCCTGAGAGATTCCTCCAGCAGGCACCTGTTGCACTGGATGGTCCCCTCAGCCTGGTTTTCTGTGAGTGGGAAATGCAGGCCACAGTCTCTGCAAAACCACACCAGGATCTGGGTAGAGGCATCCATGGTCGGGTTCTCTGTCTGGCTACAGGTGCAAGTGGAGGAGATAGGAGCAGTATTGGCACAGGTGATACGGCCCTTCCTATCCATAGTCACTGCCTCAAGACTCCCTCCTACAAACCCGCTTTCAAACTCCCCTGTTTGTGGTCCCCTGGTCGCTTAGCCTCTGGCTTTTAAGGCCTTCTCTGCTAGGTCAGTCCTATCCTCTCGTTAATCACACAGGAGGAAGGTGATCACTAGCCTGATTGAGGCTGATCAAGGGTGAACAAGGCTCAAACAGTCCCCAGACACACAATCCCAACTGACCCAATAACTGAAATAAACTTGAAAGAGAAAGAAAGACACAAACAAACAGTCAAGCAAACTCAAACTCACTCATCCCAAGGTTCATACTCACACCTTGTTTGTTTCGGCAGAGGGATTGCCTTCTCATTCTCCCCCTCTCAAACTCTCCTGTTTGCAGTCCCCTGTTCGCTAGCTCCCCCTGATAATATACTTTATCAAACAGGAGAGTATCTCACGCAAAGTTTTCCCCCCAGTCATTAACAATCAGGCTGGTTATAACCCTCCGTTCATAAAACAGGCAGCTGGCAGCTAGGTAAAAGTTACTGGGTGTCTCTCTGCATTTCCCTGATAAAGCAGACTAATTAAGTTGACCTATGTTATGTCAATGTACAGCCACTGCAGTAATTGAATCTGTTTTACATGTCCAAACCAGGCTCCTTGTGTCGGTGGTGTGCGTGCTCACTAGGAGCGCTTGCACCAATTTAACTGCCATTGGGGGATGGTTTCTAAAAGGCAGCAACAGCTGATGTAGGCAACAGTGTCTACACTGACACTGCATTGACTTAACTACATCGCCTTAAGTGCTACACCTCTTGTGGACGTGGAGTTAAGTCAGTGTAGTGGGTGAGTTGCACTGGTGGGAGCTACATTTTAGTGTAGATGATTACAGAGTTAGGTTGACATAAAATGTATGATGTTGACCTAACTGTGTAGTGTAGACCAGCCCTAATTCTTTGATCTTCATCACAAACAGGACACCCTCCTGCTGTATGCTCCTTCTTGGAGATTTTGTGATCTCTTGTCAGTTTCACAATCTTGATTAGCTAGTGGCTCTATATGCAGATAGACTTACATTGTAAGACACACAATACACAATGGACAGCCAGGCAGAGATAAGCATCTCCTACCCACTGCTGGATAAAACCTGTTCATCACCTTCAGGTGACCTGTCTTAATTTACATAGCTTTAGAACATAGTTCTCACTATAGACACATAACTCCTTAAACATCATTTGTACATGCATCTCACCATGATTAGGACAACCAATGTGTTACTGGCTGTTGGTAGAGTCCTTACATACTGCCCCTTTGGTGCACAATTATGTAGACATCAGATCCAAGGGATCCCTTGCAAACCACTGTGCACCTCTTATGCCCTCAGCCAGTTGGCACCAAGAGATGTCTGGGTCACAGTCATACTGATAACACGGCTCAGCCAGCAAGTGTCACTGAGAGCAGGCTGTGGGCTGGCCCCCACCTACTTTCCCTTGCTCTCAGGATCCTGCTACCCAGCCTTCTCTCCCTACTGCCTGCAGCCTGCTGCTCACCCTCACACACATTGGCCATCTCTCTGTCAGCCAGATTCACTGTCCCCAGGATGTCACTTTGCGCTCCTTATTACTCTGGTTAACACAGCACCCACTACTGGCTAGGTGCTGATCTGAGTCCCTGCCAGTCCCAGAATATCCCGGAGCCCAGTCCTGTCTCTCCAACTCATTATAGATAAGGGGTACCCACTTGTGGACCAGCAGCTCATTACAGAATGTTGTTAGGACTCTCCAGCCCATTAGAAATGGTCTCTCAATCTCCCTTTCCTTTGGACTCAGATGAACATTCCCTTGTGGAATACACAGGAACTGACAGAACAGGTGCACATGGAAATGAATTCCCTCAGGAGGCTGTCATGCCAGTAGGAGTATTGCGATTTATCTGTGCATGTCTAGAGCAGAAAATCTCCTAGACACCACCGACAGCAGTGAATGGGGCAAAAATAAACAATTTCCTCTTTATATCTTTGGCTCCTGCAGACTGAGTCGTTGTGATTTCACAGTTGCTTGTTGTGAGGAGCTCTTCTCTGCTCTTGGTTCAAACCGGGCCATGAGAGAACTGGACATATGTAAGAACAAACTGGAAGATTCAGGGGTGAAGCAGTTGTGTGAAGGACTGAAACATCGAAACTGCAAACTGCAGAAATTATGGTAAGTTACAGCTGGGATTTGAACCTGTGACCCTGGTTATCTGTGGTTATTAACACAGTGTCAGGATTAAGGTCTTTTTACTAGAATCATAGGGTTACTGTCCATTCCCGTAACCCAAGAATTGGCTCTCATTTTTTTTCTCACTGCTATGCAGATAGGCTGCAATTTACTAGTGAAAAACTTGAATGATCTAGTGCAAGGGTCTCAAACACGCGGCCCGCAGGGCTCTTGCATGTGGCCTACCAAGCTCCCCGCCCCTCTGCCTACCCGCGGGATTGCCCCCTGTGGTGTTGCGAGCCCCGCGCCGCACTCTGAAGCATCTGGCAGCATGCCCCTTCGGGCTGGGGGGAGGAGGCAGAGGGCTCCTGCATTGCCTCCTTCCAGGCACCGCCCCCCGCAGCTCCCATTGGCCGGGAACAGGGAACCGCAGCCAATGGGAGCTTAGTGGGAGGTACCTAGAGGAGCGGCAAGCCCAGTGCACGCACGGAACCCTGAGTCCCCAACCCTCCCCCAGGGGCTGCAGGGACACTGTTCCAGTTGCTTCCTGGAACGGAGCGGCGTGGGGCCAGGGCAGGCAGGCCCTGGCCCCCGTGCGCGCCGCTGCCACCCCGGAGCCACTCTAGGTAAGCGGCGCCGGGCTGGAGTTTGCACCCTGCACTCCAACTCCCTGCCCTGAGCCCTCTGCCACATCCCACACCCCAACCCCTGCCCTGAGCCCCCTGCCACATCCCACACCCCTCCCGCACCCCAACCCCCTGCCCTGAGCCCCCTAAGAGACACTAGATCAGGGGTCTCAAACTCAAATGACCACGAGGGTCACATGAGGACTAGTGCATTGAACCGAAGGCCGCATCACTGACACCCCCCCTCACTGCCTCTGGCCCCACCCCCACTCCACCCCTTCCTTTAGGCCCCTTCCCTGCCCCACCTCTTCCCACCCCTTCCCTGAAGTCCCCACCCCAACGCTGCCCCCAGGGGGTGCAGAAAGGGTGCAGGGTGTGGCAGGGGCTCAGGGCAAGGAGTTGAGGTGTAGGTGGTGTGCAGGGTGCGGCAGGTGGCTCAGGGCAGGGAGTACAGGAGGGGTGCAAGATGTGGCAGGGGGCTCAGGGCAGGGGGTTGGGGTGCGGGAGGGGTGTGGGATGTGTCAGGGGGCTCAGGGCAGGGGGTTGGGGTGCAGGGTGCAAGCTCCAGCCCAGCGCCACTTACCTAGAGGGGCTCCTGCCCTGGGCCCCGGCCCCACGCCGCTCCGTTCCAGGAAGCAGCTGGAACCGTGTCCCTGCAGCACCTGGGAGAAGGTGGGGGACTCAGGGTTCTGTGCATGCGCTGCTCTTGCTGCTCCTTTAGGTACCTCCCACCAAGCTCCCATTGGCCGCGGTTCCCTGTTCCCGGCCAATGGGAGCTGTGGAGGGCGGTGCCTGGAAGGAGGCAATGCAGGAGCCCTGTGCCTCCTCCTCCCCCCGGCCCGAAGGGGCATGCTGCTAGCCGCTTCAGAGTGCGGCGCGGGGCTCGCAACGCCACAGGGGGCAATCCCGCGGGTAGGCAGAGGTGTGGGGGAGGGGGCCACGGGGAGCTTGGCGGGCTACACGCAAGAGCCCCGCGGACTGCGTGTTTGAGACCCCCATTTCTAAACAGTCCCTTTCAGAGACTTAATGCAGGGAAGTCCTTTGGCCTATGGTATACAGGAGATCAGACTAGATGACCATAGTGGTCCCATCTGGCCTTAGAATCTATGAATATTTCCTCTGCAGATTTATTCAGCCTTTGCCTGAGGAATTGCTTGGGCCAATATTGACCTGTAGCCAGCAGATTCCTCTCACCCTTGTGCTACTTTTCACGTTCCCCACATAGAATTAGCAGGGCCATTGGTTCAGGGATCACGATATCCCTTCCCACTGCTGCTGACGCTGCTGCAGAGGTAAGCAATGAACAGAGGGCATTATGGGGGGTGGTTATCGGACCTGCATTTTTGGCTCCTCCTATTATCGAAAGGAGCTTTTGTCTGCACATGTGCATTTCTGGTGTAAATCTACTGGAGATTCAGGATAGTGAGAGTGAGGGGGTTGTTTCCACAAGAAAGTTGTTGTACACACTTAATTAGCTTTTAGAGAGGAAGGCTGGTCTAGAGATTAGGGCAGTAGCTTGTGACTCCTGGGTTCCATTCCCTCCTCTGCCAGACCCCCTGTGTGACCTTGGGAAAGTCACTTAGTCTCTCTGTGCCTCAGATGTGTAAATGGGGATAGTAGCTCTGCCCTACCTCACAGGAGTATCAGGAAGAGAAATACACTGAAAAAGATTGAGTTGTTTAGGTACTATGCAGACCTGCCACCATTTATATTTAAATTAATTCACAGACATAATGCCTGTTTGTCCTACTCAGACCCACTGTGTGAATTCATTCCATCCATCTAAACTAGCATTCATTGCACACCATCGGGGTAAATTTGGATACAGTCTGGGTTTTATCCAACTGTCCTTCATGGTTTTTCCCGTGCCTCCCTCCCAAACTGCCCTCGACTGGTTCCTCTTGCTGCATCTGCCTCTCTCCTTCTTCTTGGCCTTGTGTTATGGGAATCTAGCTCTTGATGTCATCTTAGTTTAAAGCAGAAAGCAGCTGTTGATGGGGGGCAAGAATGTGGCCTGATGAGCCGCTACTTACACCCAACTTAACAGGAGTGAAACATGAGCAGTAGCATTTCATACAGAGTGTGTATTGTCGTACGGACTGGGAGCCCCACCATAAGAAGATGCTTCCTTTTCAGGCTGTCCTTTGTTCTTGGAGCCCCCTTCTAAAATCTGTCAAGTCCCCTCCTTCGCCTCATTTGAATCTCTCATGAAAACTCACTTTTCAGCATCTGCTACAAAACAGTGTCTCTGCACTGTAATCTCTAACACAATTAATAAAAAACTAAACCCCCAAATCAAACCACAGCATTTAAATCCCCCCAAGCCATGTCTGTGCATGTACCTACACTGAGTAATGTACCTACACTTGCTTTGTAACCCAAGTCCTCCTCACCTCCCTAGTGTAATATCCTCACTTGTCTGTCATGTCCATCATTTAGACTCCAACAGGTAAGCAGATTCTTACATCTGTGTGGAGTCCTATTGAAGTCAGTGGAGCTCTGTTCCAGTAAAGGGTCCAGCTGTGCAAATTCTACTGCAAAATCGGGGCCTTAGATTATAAACTGTTCAGGGGAGGGACCTGTGTTCTATGTCACTTGTGTGCTATAAAGTATCAGTCAGATGTCTGTGCCACAGGCTCTCATTAACCCCTTCTCTCCCCATATGGGGTTGGTACATCTCATAACAAGGGGAAATCTCCCTCTGTATGTTTACTACAGTGAAGATTAGCACATGCTGTTTACAGTCGTGGTAACCTCTATTTTGTGATGGGAGCTGGTTGTGCATTTTTTGGAAGAGAATGGCAGAGAGATTCAGGTGGGCTGGCAAAGCATAAAATGCCTGTAGGTTTTGTTAAAAAGAAATTGTGAACTCCAGCCCACATCAAAACTTAGTGAACTTCTGGTCAAGGCAGCTGATGTCTTTCAGGATGGTATCAGGACCTTAAAACCTACCAAAGCAACAGGTGTCCTGGCACAGGGAGAAATTCCTACATTTTTGCAAAGCTCATCCTGTACATTGTGTGATAGAGCCAAAGGTAGAAGCAGAATTTCAGTACTGATAGAACTGTGGAATTATTTCAAGGTTAACCTGTGTGAATGGAGCACCCCATAGTGATGAAAAGTTATGGATGAAAGGCTGGCTGGTTCTGTGGTGATATCAAGGTTACCATTAATCCATTATTGCATATGGATAAGTATCAATTACCTAGAATAGATTATATATTTGCAGGTGGTAAGCATTTCTCCTCAGTCAACCTCTCCCAAGCCTACCCAGAAATAGAGACAGAAGACAGTGACAAGTACCACCTCACAATTAACATATTTCAATATAACAGACTAGTGTTTGGAATACCATTCACACCTGCTATTTAGCAGTGAGCCATGGACCATGTAACAGAGTATTCCTGGCACTTGGAGTTACTAGGATGATAGACTGTTCATGGGGCCTAATGATGAAGAGCATTTTGAAAACCTCTGAAAGGTGCTCTCTGTGGGCTTGTCTACATGCATAGCTAAAACCCTGTGTGGACACTCCCATTTCAGAAGAAGAATGCCCTTTTCTGATCTAGCTTCTCTCACTTTCAAAGGGATAAATTGATGCATGGTGCAAAGTATGATGAGATCCTTAGATGGAAATGCAAAGCAGTGGTGTGACACTTCCTATGCACCAAATGCCTCCAAGTTCCCTCCCTCTCCCTAGTAAATGTCCCTCATGTCAGGCCCTGAATTACTGACAACCATTTTGACCATTCACCCTTATGTTTCAGCTCCCTACTGTAGTGAATATCTCATACTTTGTCACCTTTTGCTACTCAGTTATGTACATGCAGCTGTGTGAAATCAAATGTGTTGGAGAAGTCTGCAGCTAAAACACCAAAGTCACATGGGGTTTGAGATGTTCATGGCTGAGCTGCTAAGTTATCTGAGTTTGATCAAGACATCTAGGAACACACTGACAGTTATGGCAATTTTTTGTAATATCCTGGACAAACCTTATTAAATTAAGTTTAAGTATTTTAGTAGTTAGTTGTATTAAATGCAAATGTTTATGTATTGTGGGATTGTATGGAACTTCTTCAAGAGGAAGATAGGATTAATGTAATCTCTGGGAAGTACTGTGAGCGTCAAAAGACTATGTTGACAAAGGTAACGGACACAAATGATCTTTTGGGACAATATATGTGAAGTTGAACTCCTAGGAAGTACATGGGAGGAGGGGATTGTGAAGCTCCACCTGTGGACTAAGTCTTTGACGCATGATCCTAAGTGGGGGACTTTTTGTCTGCTGATCACCTATTGCATGAGATCAGGTCAAAGACAAACTCTGTAAAGGAGTAACTAATGTATTCACGAGTGTACTTGTTCTGAGCGGAAGCTATGATGAACTTGTGACCACATGTCAAGGCTAATTCTCCACTCTGGCACTTCGAATGCAGAAGGTGGGGGCCCGCAAGGATTCTAAAAATTAATACTTGCCTCTCCAGGCTTGTATTAAACTCCCAAGGTTACAGATCCCCCTGGCCTTGGTTGGTAAATGCTGCCACCACCCAAGTGCAATACCCCTTTGAGAGCCCAGGAAGGCGCACTTGGGAATTCCTTCCTGTGAGGTACCCCCAACTCTTTCACCCCTCCTCTGGGGAAGAGCTGAGAAAAGGGAAGAAAAATAAATCAGCTGTTTCCACCAGCTATCTGAAAAATATATGCCCAGACCTCTTACCTCCTAAGAGACAGGACTCCAGTCATGTTCTTAAAAAAGGTAAATTTATTAAAAAAAAAACAGGGAAAGAAAATACATCTGGAAAATCAGGTTGTTGCTACATATTAAAAGAGCAACTGAAAGCACTGAAAACCAAGAATGGCTTTCTTGGGGTCCAGCTTAAAGGTTACAAAAACAAAACAAAAGCACCTGTGTTAGCACAGAGGAATCCACAAGCCCAAAATAAAGAGATAAACCTGATCACGTCTAACTAAACTTTTCCTGATCTACTTACATATCTGCGGTTCCAAATGAGTAGTTTCTAGGTATGAGGCTGATGATTTTTCATACCTGGCTCAAACCTTACAGCATACCCTGCTGCCCTGTCTCTCCAGCTGAGAGAAAGGCAACAACACAGACAAAGGGGAAGTTTTTTCTCAATTTTAAAAGTTTCTAGCCTTTCCATTGGCTCTTTTGGCCAGGTGCTCACTCACTTCCTCTTACCTAACCATTTCAGTGAGACTTTTTAACCCTTTACAGGTAAGGCAAGTAGAGAACAGCTACTGAGGGCTAGTCTACAGTGGCAGCGCTTTAATGTGCCTTGTGTGGTCGTGGCGCTCTAAAAAAACCACCTCCATGAGCAGCTCCCAGCGCTGGGGCACTGTTTATACTGGCACTTTACAGCACTGCAACTTGCTGTGCTCAGGGGGGTGTTTTTGCACACCCCTGAGAGAGAAAGTTGCAGCACTGTTAATTGCCAGTGTAGACAAGTCCTGAGAAGGATTTTTATAGCTAACTGACTGGCTGGGTGTCCATAAAGGGGTGCTACCCTCCCCCCCAGGGCCGGCTCCAGGCACCAGGCACCCAAGCTGGTGCTTGGGGCGGCACCTGGAGGGGGGCGGCGGCGCGGCGCTCCGGCCGCCGGGGAGCGCGGGGCCACAGCAGGGCTCGCCGCCCTCCCCCCGGCGCTCTGGCCGCCCTCCCCCC